ATAAATGTCCTCCAAAGAAAGTTTGAAACGCCCTCTATTGAGGGGGTTGTCAACTTTATGAGGTCATAACTTTTGAACATTAAAATAGTTTTTTACTAAATGCAAATTTTACAGACGAATTTTAGTCAAGTTCACAATAGTAGAGTTTTTTTTTAAGCGCTATCATTGCCCTCCTTCCCTAAAAATTATGTGAACTTTAGGGCCCTTATTTGAGGATAATATTGTTCCAAAACTCTGATCACCATGATTTCTTTTTTTAACATATTATTTGCATTGATTTTGCATGTGAAAATGCATATCTGAAAGTTACTTATCTTAAAGAATAAAAAATCTTGAAATTGATCTTTTAGTATATATTCAATTATTTTTAATTGGAGAATGGTTTAAACAACACAATTTAAAGTTTATAAAAGATACACATATATACTATACGATATTTAATTTTAATGTAAAACTGTTAAAGAAGGTATGTCAGTAGTTGTACGTAACAGTGGCTTAAAGCAGGCTTTGCGGATAGTCTTTAAAACTTCTAGAAACTTTGTATCCACTCTCCCAAAACTGCTTTAAAATCATAATGAACAGATTTAGAGGCTTGTTAAGACAAAAACTTAATCCTTTATTTGGATTGGAATTTTACATAAGTGAAAGAAATTCACATGTATGTTTGATAAGAGCATGCACTTTCAGTGACAATTGTAGACCAAGTTTAAGATAAGCATCTTTGTACTCGTTAATGGTTGACTCATATTCAGGTAACAAACTAAACCAAGAAATGCAATTTTAACAGATTTAAAACATTTAAAGGAATTATTTCTAGAAATAATATGTCCATCTCTTTCCTGTTTGGAAGATTTTATTAATTCTTTTAACGCATAAATATTTTTTAGCAGTTTTGAACATACTCCAACTTTAAATTGACCATTATGCAGATAAGGCCTTTGAAAATTTAAAATTTGGTTCCACTGGTTTGCCGATAAAGTAGTATCCACTGGTTGATCTGCCTGATGACATAAAAGTTATTGAAATTCTTGCTTCAATGGAACTTTATTTACTTTGTGGAAATGCAAACAGATTTTACGATAATCTTGTAAAACATTTGTAATCTATGGAAGGTTAACGCAATCAATATAAGATCCAGCTGAAAGTTTGGATTTTTTTTTAATCTTTACAGAAGGCTTTGTAAGCATTAGCTAATGAACGAATACTTCCTAGAGTTCTGAGCTTACCATAACTTTCAAAATCTTGCATTTTTTTAATTTTTTTTGCTGTTACACCAAAGGCAAGGATGTGTTGATGCTGCACTTTCCAAAAAATATTGGCTAATTTCATATCAAATGCATAAAAAGTATTTTAAACTATTTAGCTTTGATAATTTTTTCAAAATTTGAATGAGATTCAGACACGTTTCCTGTTTTAAGCCAATAACAAACAATTTGTTTACGCCACCATCTTTGTATTTTTTACATTACATTCTGTCACTTTTTCTATAATATTTAAATAAACTTTTAAAATTTTGCCTTTGTCAAAAGTTTATATTTTAAAGGTGGGCATTGATGTTCAATGCCCACCTTTAAAATATAAACTTTTGACAATTTTCTATCCTTTATTATTGTCTCAACAAAATATAAATGGAAGTTTATAATATCATATTTTAGGGTTACTGTTTATAACAGACGGATTTAACTTTTTATCAACAAAAAATTTAATTTCAGTGTCAATTATTTTTGCTGGATATTCGTTATTTTTTTAAACAATAGATATATTTTTTATGTCCTTATCAAATCTAAGCCATGTGTTGTTGAATTTATATGTTCTATCAATCAAACAACGTTTAACACTAATTTTATAACAATAGGGAACAAAACTGGAAAGTTATTGTAAAAGACCTGTATATGTTTTTTTTTTGTGATAAACTGATATGGAAAGCAAAACAGACTTATTGATAAGAACATCTAAAAATGCAATTTGATTATCTTGTTCTTTTTCCATCGTAAATTTTGAATTTTTGTGTTTATTAAGATGTTTAGAAAATTCCTGAGCTTCAAACTCTGAATTAAAAATAACGATACCATCCACATCCAACGTTTATAGAAAATTGGTATGGAGAAAGAGCAATCACTAACCCTGTTTGTAAAACTAAATTAAAATATTAGCTAAAATTGGCACTAAAGGAGAACCCATGGCAACGCAATCCAATTGATCATAATATTTTCCATTAAATAAGAAATGAGAACCGGATGTTGAAATTTAAAGTATATTTATAGCTATTTATAGCTAGTTTCATTAAGTGAAATATTAGTAAATAAGCTTTCAACTTCATAGGAAACTATATATTTGTTAGTTATATCAACTTGCTTTAATTCCTCAACAAAAGAAAAAGAGTCACAGGTAAAATTTAGGTTTATATGGAGACAGCAAATCAGAAAGATGTTTGGCAAGTTTATAATTATATACCCCAATTGTTACAATAATTGGTCAAAAAGGTAGTATGGAAATATCTTTACTGAGTTTGTGCATCTTAGGTAAAGCATAAATTGTTGGTTGTAAACCAACAGGATAAATTTTGTTGTAAACGTCATTTTCAAAACAACTATGTTTTTTTAATTTCCTAAGATACGCTTGCAAAGATTGCTCTCTTTTAATAGTTAAATCATCTTTCAACTCTTTAAATTTAGTTTTATCACTTTTAATATTAGTTAAAGATGTAATATAGTTAACATTATTAAAAAATTATACCATTCCCTTTGCCTGGTTTTGTGATTACAATGTTTTCATTTTTCTTTAGTCTCTTCAATATTCTGTGTTTCCTTAGACTTCAGATGGTATGTATTTATATACATAATTGTTCAATAAATGAGAAAGTTCACTTTGAGGTTGAGGTTCCCAACCACTGCTTCTAAGTTGAGAATGAGAAATTGTGCAATGCTATTAAATTGAACAAAAACCTCTATCTTTTTTATAAACACAGGTGGTAGAGCAAATTTAAGACCATTGTTTAATAAATCTAGTTCATCCTGCTGTAAAGTGTATAATGATGTATCATGAAAAAAGTGTTGTTTAGAAGGAAGGCAAGTAAATTTTGTGAGGAAGCATAATTTTTTCCTGTGAGTTTTAATAATGGAAAGTTCTTTTTTTTTAAGCTATTTTTTTTTATTACAGATTTTACTTAAATTTTACCAAACCTAAAATTAATAAGATCATTAAAAAATATTGTAAAAATGTCATAATTAATTTAATTTTCAAAACAGTTTATGTATAAAAGATCCACTTCTTAAGCTGCTCAAATCCAATGTTGTTTAGAAATTTTCTTGTGCTGGATGTAATGCCAGTTAAATTGGAGAAACTTCCAGACAATTAATAACAAGGATCCATGAGTATCTTACAACCGACAAACAATCTAATGTTTATAAGCATTTTATCTGTTGATTGTAAAAATCTAAGTGACTTTAATTATTTTAAAATTTTGGATACTGCTCCTAACAAAAACAAATTGAAAATTAAAGAAACACTTCATATTAAATGGGAAAACTCTTCTTTAAATAAACAAAATGTTCATTATAATATAAATTTGAAAAATTTATATTCTAAATATCAAAAGAATTCAAGTGAAATTAATCCCTTTCATTTTTGATCCCTGTTTCCTGTTTGGTCCCTTTGATTTTTGATTCTTATGCTATTTGGTTTGCTATGCTTTAGATAAAATTAAATTACTCCGCTAATACTCTTGCTATGACGGGTGTCTAGCCAATTTGTTTTTTCTTTGATTAGGTAATCATTAGATCATTTAGTCAATTCCTTCATTAGATTTGAAGGTGATTATTTGGTTGAGATAAACTTAGCTTAATTACCTTTAAAATTAACTGCTTCTTTTTCCAAATATATACATGATATGACACATATTTTAAACTATACTCCAAATTTTATCACAAGACTAACTGTAAACTTTTTTTATTAAAGATAATCTTTTTTTTTTTTTATACAATGATTATATAATGGATACAAAGATTTCATTATTGATATTTTTATACTTTTTAATTGAATTTTATTATACAAGAAAATTGATAATGGACAACTTCCAAAAAAAATACCTTCCAATGCAACAACATTCAACAGGCTTCTCCTTGTCAGCATTGATGCAACAACACTCCAGTTATTTGTTTTTGGATCATAGCGTTCAACATTGTTTAAAGAGCTTTGAGCTGCTCCTGAAAATTAAGAATGTTTGTAAATATAAAATAATGAGAAGTTGAGGGTAAAGATAAGTTATAATTACGCCTTTACATAATAGTTATTATAATAATTATGCATCTGCATAAATATAACAACACTTTATTATAATTCTAGCAAAGTAACAAAAAAACATTTTAGTAAAAAAATAAAAAATACTGAAGAAATAAGTTATTTTAATAGATACAAATATTTACACAGGGTGTTAGCCAGCCCAATGGCACCGTATATACCATGGAATACCCAATAGTATAAAATTCCCAAAATTCAATGACTTTTTTTTTCCTAAAGTAATACAACAATTTCAACAAAAATTCCCAATATTTTGTAGAACAATCACAACAATTATGCGGTAAAAAATATATTCCTGGCAAACACCCTGTTATAATTAACTTTTTAATTATACAAAATTTCAGTAAACCATTTTAAATAGACAAAAATAAAAAACATATTATCAAACATAAAATGCTGTGAATTACTAAGAATAGTAAAACAACTACTTTTGATCATTTTACCTATCCTCACACCTCACACCTATCCTCACACCTCACAGAACCTATTCCTCACACCTCACACCTATCCTCACACCTCACAGAACCTATTCCTCACACCTCACACCTATCCTCACACCTCACAGAATCTATTCCATTTTTTTTGATCATTTCACACCTCACAGAATCTATTCACAGAACTATTCACAATCTATTCCAGCTATATATGATTATCATAATCATTTTTAAGAAAGTTTTTAAATTAAGAGTTTAAATAAAACATTTGTTTTTAACTATTTTATTTACAGCTTAAATAAAACATTTGTTTAGCCATTTTTATTTAATTATATTATTTAGACTATATAAATTGTGTGTTTTACCATTTTGATTTTAATAAATAAGTTGAAATAAAAAAAAAAGTTTTTTTGGTTTTATTTTAATTATTTAAATTTAAATAAAACATTTGCTTTAAAATTTTTATAAAAATTTAAATAGCAAATAAAAAGAAAATTTTAAAATTGTCAGCCTACAAATGCATGCAGTAAAATACAAATGGAGACTGTAGACATTTGCCAATAAATACTGAGATGAACGTCAAGCTTTACAAAAAAAAAAAAGATTTTTCAAGCTCTGTTATGCTAATAGAATGATCTGCAGCAACTTTCATGTATAACAACACATATAGGAAACAAATTCACCTGTGTGTTCTGTAAAAAGACAACAGATTAACTGGTAATCAAATTTTTATAAATGTGTATATATATATATATATATATATATATATATATATATATATATATATATATATATATATATATATATATATATATATATATATATATATATATATATATATATATATATATATATATATATATATATATTATTTGATTCAATAAAATTTTAGAAGATATTTTACGGAAACATTGTATCTTTTTCAATAAAATGTGTGAACTATGTGCAAATGTGTGAGCTGTGTGCAACCAGAAGTGTTCCTGACACTCAATTATTAGTATAAAAAAAAAATTATAATGTAAAAAAAGAGGAGTGTATAAACAAGGTTTTTTATATAAAAAAAACATTTACATGAATTTTTTATTACTGCATGTTTAAGTGACTTCTTTAAAGATGTTTAGCACCATAAATATTACAAGCTGGACCCAGTGAGAACAGAAAACGCGCTTGGACAACAGGATGGCTCCACTTACTAGATTTACAAATAGAATTAGCATATTTGAAATGTTAAAAAATTGAGTCTTTTTTCTTGTTTCTAAAAGATTAATTGAACCTAATTTGTTCACATGAGAATTATGGTATTTTGTTGCTTTTTGCTGAATTTTCAATTATGGATTCCAGACTCTAGTACAAAATTTTAATACAGGATGCAGATAAACTGGGAATAACTTAATCAAAATATATAGGATTCCATTTTTAGAATGTCCTTTTGAGTGGACCATGTACTAAGTTTGTTGTGAAAATTATTTTATTGTTATGATTAAACCATATAAGTTGTTAATAAAAATACAATTGGTCCATATAACATACGTAATTTCATGTGAATTATGCAAACCTGATGAATCCATCATAGTAAATATATTATAATTAGTAAACTCACTGCTAAAATTGATGTAAATAAAACTATTTGAACCAAAAAAAATCATTTAATAAAATCATTAATAAAACAGTTTATTATTTCAAAGCAAATTTTTCTTATTTCCTGGTAAACGAGTTTAAAAATACTTATAAGACGAAGACTTTTTACATTCGATGATGGTTTATTTAACTTAGTATTAGTTTTTAGTTTAATTTTATTACATTATATTAAATTGTATTATTGTATTAAATTTCTTGATTGATTAAGTTATTTTTTATCTAATTATTTATTTTTCTAGATTTATTATTTAATTATTTAAAATTATTAATATCAAATTTTTACCCTATGGATGGAATAGAAAATAATCGTAAAACAAGGAAAAATGTTACAAAAGAGCACATTGAAATGCTTAAACATTTAGTTGAAAGAAATCAATCTACAACAAGCGTTTCCACTTCTCTTAATTTATCGAAGCGCACAGTTCAAAATCTTGTCGTTAAGTTAAACAGAAGAGGATTCGACGACATGACTGCATTCAAGTCGTCTTCTGATAAAAAACGAGGTGAAAGACCTATAAACGCTCAAATAAAAAATATTATCGAATTATGAGTACAAAAAAACAATCTTTGCACGCAAGAAGCAATAAAAGAAAATCTTTCTGCAGCAGGCTTCAACATGTCTCAGTTACTATTTCAAAAAAAACTCAAACGCTCGGATTTATCAAGAAAACGTGTTGTGCATGTGCCAGAAGAACGAAATTCAACACAAATGATTAATGCACGCTATGCATTTGCAAGCGAAATTAACGGAACTTCAGATGAAAAACTTATTTATTTTGATGAAACTGGATTTAATGTGCACACTAACAGCACATATGGTTATTCGCTAAGAGGTGCGCCAGCAATTTTACAGTCGCCTGCAAATTGTGGCAAGAATGTTAGTTTAATTTGTGCTGTTTCAATAATGGGAGTGCTTGCTTATGAAACAAAAACTGGAGGCTGGAATGCAGATTCATTTTGTACTTTCATAACTACAATGATGGCACCAGCGATTAGGAATGCAAATGTGGAAGCGCCGGTGCTTGTTATGGACAATTGTAAATTCCACTAGAGTCTTTCTGTTAGGCAAACACTAGTCTCTCATGGTAGAGGTATTAAGTATCTGCCAGCTTACACGCCAATAATCTTAATCCAATAGAAGAATTTTTTTCTTCTTTAAAACATACTTACAAACAGGGAGAAAGGCCTCGAAATACGGATGAGGTAATCAGGAAACTTAAAAAATATTATAGATACTACAGAGTTTAATATAGTTCCATTTTACAACCATATGCGTAGTTATATAAATCAAGCGCTGGCTCGACAACCATTTCTTAAATAAATAACAATGAAAACAACCTAATTTATATTTTAAATATGTCTATATAAAAATTTAAAAGTGTATTTATCGTTTAGATTAAATTATATTAGAGATTATATACAAACATAGGGATGTATAATTTGATATTAATAATAATTATAAATAAGTAAATTTTAAGATAAATGAATAATTAGATAAATAATAACTTAATCAATCAAGAAATTTAATAATAAAATTACAAAGAACTAATACTAAATTAAATAAACCATCGTCGAATTTAAAAGGTCTTCGTTTTAAGTATTTTAACCTCGTTTAACTGGAAATAAGAAAAGTTTGTTTTGAAAAAATAAACTATTTTTTCAAAACAAATTGCTTAAATGATTTTTTTTTTTGTTCAAATTGCTTTTTTACAATTGCTTTTGTAAAACGCATATAAAAATGAATAAAGGCGCATATAAAAATGAATAAATGCGCATATAAAAATGAATAAAGGCGCATATAAAAATGAATAAAGGCGCATATAAAAATGAATAAATGCGCATATAAGAATGAATAAAGGCGCATATAAAAATGAATAAATGCGCATATAAGAATGAATAAAGGCGCATATAAAAATGAATAGACGCGCATATAAGAATGAATAACCCTGTAATACATTGACCTATTCTGAATAAAACTGACTGAGGACAACTCACTGTTTTCTATTCTGAATAAAACTGACTGTGGACAACTCACTCTTTTCTATTCTGAATAAAACTGACTGAGGACAACTCACTGTTTTCTATTCTGAATAAAACTGACTGAGGACAACTCACTGTTTTCTATTCTGAATAAAACTGACTGAGGACAACTCACTGATTTCTATTCTGAATAAAACTGACTGAGGACAACTCACTGTTTTCTATTCTGAATAAAACTGACTGAGGACAACTCACTGTTTTCTATTCTGAATAAAACTGACTAAGGACAACTCACTGTTTTCTATTACTAGGAAAATCATAATACAAGTTTATAATGTTATTACAGAAAAATGATAAACCAACCAATAATTCAGCAGAACATTATAATTACTCAACAAACATGCTAACTTCAACAAAGAATTTTATTTATATTAATATGCTTTATTTAGCAACTTCCTTTTACGACAATCAAGATGTTCCTATTATAGGACTTTAAATTGTAAAATCAAGAAAAACTAGAGTTATTTTTATAAGATTATTATTTATGACATTATTATATTTATTGTTAATATTAATCTATTAGGCCTTTTTTATAAAAATATATCAAAGGCCTATTAAAGGTCGTGAAGCCATATTCTCTTCTCTGCTTGAGATGAAAATACAGCCCTATACAGACCTCAAATGAGCCTTGACAAACAAGGCCACTAATCTGAGAAACAAGTTGAGTGCAGTATTTCTCGGGACAATCTGGGTTTGAACTTTATACCTCTTGCTTATCAAACAAGTGCTCTACAACTACACCTCGCATTTGAATAAATAATGCTGACTTAAGAAAAAACATAATGAAAAAATAATGCTGACTTTAGAAAAAACAAAGATAAATTTCAAAACTTATTACTCAAAGGTTAACAACGACAATAATAATATATAATTGAAAAAAATGTAACTGAAAAACAATAAAACTTAAAAGACCTTCTCTATATTGTCCACCAACTGCATAAACAAATTCTCCTGTAACAGCAAGACCATGTCGACAACGTGGTGTCTGCATTTTTGCTAAAACAAACCATTGATTTGCACAAAGTAGATAACAAGATGTAGATGCAACAACAGATGTGTCTAAAAAATATTTTTTTTCAAAATGTTATTACGTGAAAAGTTTAATCTATGGAGAAAAAATATGTTTTAGAATCCACAAGTCTAGTATTTGTGAACTCCAAGTCCTGATTGTCTATAGCACAATAGGATTAGTGGATTAGGATAGTGATAGGATTAGGATTATACACTCTCTAGTCCTACACTTCTGCCAAAATGAATTCCATAAGTCAAAAAACTTTTTTTTATCTTTTTATTTTAAGGTAAAGTAGAGACTGTACTCTAGAGTTCAATTTTTCCCATTTCTGATAAAATTTGATTGCATAAATATAAAAATGTTGACCTAAGTTTTTTTTTTTACAAAAAATTTCTAAATTAATATTTGCACTATCACACCCTCTCAAAAATCTAAAAAAAAAGAAAAAAAATTTTTTTTTTAAGTATTATACAATAACTTTAACAATTAAAAATATTTTAATTAAAAATGATTTAAAACGCTATTTTTAAAAAAATTAACTTAATGGAAACAGGAATATATTCTCTATTTAAAAATATACTCCTTTTTACAATAGAAGTACCTAACAACTTGGTAACTCAACAAATATAACTTTGATCACTGATAAGTTCAACTTAACAAAACTCAAGAAAAATCAACAAATCTTTACTAAAAAAAAAAACACAGAAATGAAAACAACAGGTTTCATCACTTTTTCTTATTTAAATATTGATGTTTAAATAAAAATTTTGAAAACCAAATACTACATTTCATATATTCTATTTAACAGTTTGTTATCACATAATTTTTTTTAAGTACTTTACATAATTTATTTTAAATACTTTGCATAATTTTTTTTAAATATTATGATGTACAATATACTTTGTACATATTGTTTTATGTTGATATTTTTGAAGTTTAAAAAATGTGAAATAAGCTTAAACATTTCAACTATTTTCTTTGTAAACATGTGTAATTATTTTCTTTGAAGATGACTTTACTGAAAAGCATATAAAGATTGCCTAATCTTTATTAAACTCTCACTTGTTTAACTGTTTTTTAAGAAAGTGTTTCATAAAAAAAAAGTCACTTAAAAAAAAAATTAAACAAATGTGGATAATTTTGATGATATAAATTTGCTGAATAAATATATTATATAATAATTTTCATTTTAAGTATAATGTTCATCTTTACTCACAATTAAATTAGAGGAGGAAAATTAGAAGAATTTTCCTTCTCTTAGATAAGTTGCTAAAGAGCCTCACATTACCCAATATAGGATTAACCTCATGACTAGAACAAAATAATATAAATCATTACAAAATAGCATAATTAATCATAAATTGGTGATTTTGCATTGCAGGAAAAAATTTATGTAGAACATAAAAAAAATAAAAAAATTCTTATTATGTTTCAAAAACCTTCACCAATTTTTGATAATATTTTTACCCTGTATAATACAAATAACAATTTGTATTATACAAGTTAAATTTTCTAAAACTATCATGCTTATTAAGCACTGCACATAGTGCATGCTTGTGTATGCATGCATGTGAGAGGTGGTCTGTATAAAGTCAGACAATCATAAAGTCATTTTAAAAGTCAATCGAATGTTACTTACATTCAAGTAAATTATAAAGGAGCTTTACTTGGAAGTTTTTCTTTAGAATTGCCATATTTCCAAACCTCACCTATATCTTAATAAAAAACATAACACTATAATGGAAAAACTTACACGGACCTTGGATTCCTCCAACAGCTATTATACCATTTACAATACCCATTGATATGCGCGGCGTTGTTCTTTTACTTTTTAACTGCCAGCGCCTGTCAGGAAGCATATGATAGTTTTTTGCTTCAAGAAGCAGAGAAATACATTCTGGTGTTTGGCAAACCAAATCTTCTGACTCTACATGATCCATTAAATAGTAAGGAGAAATAAGTGGAAAACGAACATGGGTAACTAAATCTTTAAAATATCTTCTCCGGTTTATAATGTCAAATTTTACCCAATTCATAATGGCTTCAAATACTTGTTCTTCTTGCTCTACTTTTGTGTCATCACTTGAAACAATTTCAATAAGTCTGTCTACTTCAAGATGAAGAAACTCATTTGAGTTTGCAATTGTAATAAAATTATCATGCACATAATGGGTAGCAGTGTTTTTTAAAGCTTCACAATCAAATTTTTCAGCTGTTGACTCAATAACTAAGCAGTTAGCAGGACTTAATATTTTTTCTAAAAAGCTTGTACAACGACTTTTAAGGGAAGATAGTAACAAAAAATTTGCGGCAGATAAAACTTGATTAATATTTTCTTTAGTCAAATTAATATGTCCAGTATAAATATAATCTAAAAGTGTCTCCATGTGTTCAGAACCTATTTCTGTTAGAATAATAGGTTTGGTATTTTCAGAACATTTGTTCAAGTCACTAGAAAAAATTGCTTTAAAGTAAGGTGATGCAGCTGCAAGCAATGGTTTATGTGCAAAAAAAACAGTTCCATCTACACATAATGTAACATCACATAAAATATTAGCTTTGCGAAAATCATCCATTAATTTCATCATATCACAGCAATAAGTTAAACTTTCTGTATTTGAATGAGAAACATCTGATGGAGTATGACTTTTAGGTGAATCATCCTCTTCAATTTTTACAATAGAAGTATCTGAAACAGGAGGACTCATTTTTTCAGATAATGTAACCTGCTTAATAGGAATTGATGAAGGACGTCGTGGAGATATCGATGAACTGTTAGAAGAGGAACAGGAACGCGATCTTTTAAGATCAGGAGTTAAAAATAAAGGAGGTTGAGCAATCGTTTGAAAAGCTCTTTTCCTCTCCTCCATTTTTTATATATTTTCGTTAAACTAGTAAATAAAATCTAAATTATATATATATATATATATATATATATATATATATATATATATATATATATATATATATATATATATATATATACATATATATACAAATGCAAATTAAATAGAAATTGTTTAAAGTGTAAAAAGACTATTGAAAATATTACAAAAAAATATATATATATATATATATATATATATTAATTATATATATATATATATATATATATATATATATATATATATACATATATATATATATATATATAAATATATATATATATATATATATATATATGTGTGTGTATAAATATATATATATGTATAAATATATATATATAAATGAATATATTCACAACACTTTTGTAAATACTATATTGTACAAAAATATATAAAGATAATGTAAAATATAAGATCAAATTTCTGCAGTTATCACTGACACTATATTTTATTTCATTGCTAACTTTAATCTTTTATTAGCATCAGATAAGATTTTATCCATTGGTGATAAAAATATTGTGACAATGTGATAAGTTTTGCTTCAATATTTCATAAAAAACATTCAATACTGACACTTAAACATCTAATTTTATAAAACTAATTATCAATAATAATATGCTGTGTAGATATATGTATAATTAAATTTGCAATAATAATTAAAAAAATGACATCAACACATAATATGTAAAATAAGGATTCCAATATCTTAGTAGATAAACACTAAGTAAAAATCTTTTAACAAGTTTTTTTTCATTTAAAGACTTAAATTTGAAAAATGCTGATAAAACATAAAGCTGGGATCTTGTATTTTAAATAAGACACAAATCTAGAACAATAAAACACAAATCTTAAAAGAAGTATTAACAAATGTAACTTATAAACACTCATTGACAAACTTCTTTTATATTTTTAATGCAATAAACATGTAGTTCTTTTAATCTCAGTTAATGTTTTAGGTCATCATTTAACTAGAATTAAAATTACTTATAATAGAATTTTGGTTGATAACACGGGTCAAAATACACTTGACCTCAATAAACAAACATTAGATTTACTTTGTATGGTATAAAAACGTTTGTATATATCCGTTTAAAAATTTGGGTTGAAATTAAATCATTATAAAGAAAAAAGTAATCTTCAGAGTAATCCGATTAAAAAAAGGTTAAACTCTTTTAATATGATTTTAATAGAAATCAAAGAGGTGTTATGTAAAACATTGTCGTTAGGCAAAAAAATTTAAACTAAACTACTCATAAAAGTATGCATATTATAGTATTATTACCGTAAATATATTACATAATATCTATTTACAAAAATAAACACAAAAAAAATTCAGTTGCATTGATAAAAAAAAGCTATCATTACAAAAACAATGAAGATAAAACCACCATCTTTGAATCTTAATATATGATCTTTATTTAAATAAAAATAAATAAATAAAAAAAACAGGTCCCGGGCGTTCAGAAAAATAAATTGCAACATTTTTACAACCTACTTTTTCCGATAAGGTTTTACGTTGTCATAAAACTTAACGTTTAACACCGATAAAAATGTTATTGGGAGTGGTCTTAAAATTCTTTTTTATTAAATTTTTAAAACAATCAAATAGAATTAATTAAAATCTTTTAAATCTTAAACTAGATCTTTGATAATAAAAAAAATCGGACAAATAACTTGAGTTTTTTTGATTTTCCATTTTGGATAATTTGGTACAGATCGATGATCTGAGTTCATGTAGGGTTTAAATTTTGAAGGGTTTTGTCTTTTTAAATAAAAATTTCTTTTCATTTTGCTTCGGTAAAATTAGTGTCAGTAAGAATGGGTAATTTTCATATAAAAACATATAATAGCTAAAAATCTAAACAAAGTCAAAAAAATCTATAGATTTTAATGGATTTAAAACTTTAAAAATAACAAAATAATTTATTTTTTTTCACCCTTGAAAATGTTGTGGCAGCAAGGTGTTGTACGCGTTTTACGATGACTTTCTTGATAGAATACATGATCCGCTTTTTTAGTTAATGTATAATTCAATTTGCCAGTTTTTATCGTACATCAACTAGTTAGATTCAGACCTAAAATCTTCATCTAGACGTAATTCTGAAACGCTCAGGGCCGACGACACGACCCTATCCCCCCGGTGTTGTCGGCCCTGACGCTAGCGTAAGAATCGCCAGCAGAGTTATGCTTCTTCAGCACTCAATAACTTTGGTGGTCAATATTTTTGTCTTCGTATTTTAGTTTGCATGTGACGAAGATGATCAGGTCAGAACACAGTTATATCATTTTTATATGAATTCTTTTAATTTGACAAGGTATTTTAAAATGTAAGTATTACTTGGTAGATCAATTTTTGACATATGGAGTTTTTTAATGTTAAAAAACTCCATATGTCAAGAAAATATTCCATTCCAAATTCTGAATCATTTATGATATAGAGAGATATATTCGTGTTACTCAAATCAAATACAATTCATTGTTAATAATAGCAATTTCATTTTGCAAAAAATCAATATTAATCTACAGCGTTTCGAACGAACATCAATAATAATCAACAGCGTCTCAAACAGCTGATTATTTGCGGCGGTGTTCTTTTCGGTGTTTTATTGCGATAACGAATACTACTTTTTTAATTTATAACTTTGCATATGTACAGTTGTGATACATTGAATCGTTTTTATAACTTTGCATATGTACAGTTGTGATACATTGAATCGTTTTGCAAGACCACGCTGTGAAATATCATTCTTTTAATCAATCAATTTTTTTAAACGCTTTATCAGATTTATAGACTTTCATTTCAGCATATTATAAGAGTTGATGTTTTTAATTCTCTTTTCAAAAAATAGGCAAGTTCGTCATTCGAAAATGGTTCTTAATCCATCTTTTATACTTTTCAATATGTAAATCAATGCGTACACTCGTTTTTGAAATCTTTTCCAATAGTCTTGAAAATTATAACTAAATAAATATTTTTGAATTAATACATATAAAGAATTAAGTTTAGAACAAAATGGTATTGCGAGTATATTAAATAAATCTTTTATATTTTATTGTTGTACAAATTTTATTCAGATTTTTACTTTATTATATGTTAGCAATAAAAGGGACATCTCGTATCTCTGCTGGAACTGAGTTAACCTAATTGACGTCCTTACTGAGATACAAAATTATGCAAAGTTACTTAACGTTAAAAATGCTTGCACCCAAAATGTTTATACAATAAAAAGTAAAAATACAGCAAAAACTCATAAACTTGAAGAAAAAAAACAAACAAAAACTCAAAAACTCAAAAGTCGGATTTTCAGAATAAAATTTACTTGTTTTTATTAAAACTTTTGATTTGAAAAAAAAAAAAACAAGCAAAACTAGCAAAAAAAAGAATGATTTTCTATTTTGATTTGTTTGAAGAGTTTACGTTATATAACCTTCAATATTTATTTTTTCATTTATTCATTCAAAATTTAATAGTTGGTTGATTAAGCTAAAGTACATTTAAGTTTTTTTATAAAAATACATTTTTTTGCTGGTCCTATGATGTTCAGATGACAAAGTTATAAAGAGCCGTTACATTAAAAAGAGGATTTATAAAAACAGGATCAAAGAAGTCACCACAATCTTTTTATAGAGCCTTAATGTTTTTTAGATGTTTAAAAAAATATGAGATTGTAAAAGGTATTATATTTAAATCCTTTACAATATACAGTCTGTGCTCAAGTTGTCAGGCACACTATAGTTTTTTAATAGTTACTTATTATGCATAAGTTTATATGCAATAGTTTTATCTAAACATAGATGTAATGGCTATTTATTCAAGAGATCTTTTATATAACTTAATTTTGTACTTTTTTTAATGAATGACATTCAAATTGTTAAGCACTTAACAAAGATGTTCAGTCATCAGCAGTTAAGGTTCTGGGTATCTTTACGTGGTAAAAGGTATTGTGGCGAGATCAATACAAAGAAGCCCTAGAAAACCAGTTAATTCCACAGCTCAAAGAATGATTTTTTATTGGGGAACCATTTATTTTTATGCAAGATAGAGCATCCTGCTACCCACAATGCAGTCTGTTAAAACTTTTTTGGATGAGCAAAAAACCCCTCTGTTGGATTTGCCGAATAGAAGACCAGCTATGGACCCTATTAAAAATATGGGAGCTAATGAAGAAGAAAGTGGCTAAAGAACTGATCATAAACCAAACCCTACTTTTATAAAAGAAAATTTATGTGTAAAACCATCATCCTCAAATACAGAAGACAGCGTGAATGTTTTTATCACTTTAAAAGTTTTTTCATTGTCCACATTTTTCTATAAAAATAAAAAAAAAAATTCTCCCTCATTTAGCATTCGCTTTTGCTATTCCTTTCAATATGAATAAAAAATTAGCGTGGACTATTTTCTTATTATGTTTCAAAATACTGTTTTCAAACGTTTTTAAACGTTTGTGTTTGCCTGTCTTTGCAAGTTAAATTTTAACTTTGTAATGTCATCATGTTTTTAACTGTTAAAAACATGATGACATTACAAAGATTTTACAAAATTTTTACAAAAATTTATTACAGCAGTGACAGCAATCGTCAGCATGGAACAAAAAAGAAAAAAATTATCTGGAAGTCAATACAAAAAGAAACGCTTAAAGAATGAGGAACAAGAAAGAAAGCTCAGCAATGTTATGAAGAAATTCTTAGTACAAAAGTGCGGTTTAGATGAGCCATCCACATCAGCAGCAACTGATTTGGCAAATAACAACACAGTGCCGCCCCAATCACTTCCAGAAGAAGTTGTTGAAGAGAGACAAATACTAACACCATCAGATCTTCGTAAACAGCCGGGCAGCACATCCACGTCAACTGCGACTGCCTTGGATTTGGCAAATAAAAACACAGTGCCGCGCCAATCAATTCCAGAAAAAATTGTTGAAGAGATCCAAAAAATAACATCATCAGAAGTTCATCAAGAACCGGGCCGCATTAGCAGTGGCAGTCAGCAGGTATTAAAAGAAATTCTTTCAGATCCTGCATTATGGCTTACTTTCTGCATGTCATCTCAAACTCGTCAACTACTGGTTGAGAGGGGTCCCCATCAAATTAAAGAATTCGAGTTTCCTATTAATAAAGGAAAGCGTAGATTTTTGCCCTCGTATTATTCGAAAGTGTTGAGCAATGGTGAAGTCGTTGAGAGAAGTTGGCTTATTTACTCTATTGCAAGTGATGCCGTTTTTTGCTTTTGTTGTATATTATTTGATAATTCGTCTGATATTAGTGACTGGCCCAAAAAAGGCTATTCTGACTGGAAAAATCTTATAAGAGCCCTCACAATGCACGAAAAGTCTGTAAATCACAGAAATGCTTTTAGAGCATGGAAAGAATTGGACATTCGATTGAAGCAGAAAAAAACTATTGACGCTGAATATCAACGAATTATGGATATGGAACTTCAGCATTGGAGAGGAGTTATAAAAAGAATTATGTCAATAATTAAACTATTGGCCTCACAATGTTTAGCTTTTCGTGGATCAACTGAACATTTGTTTCAACCTAATAACGGGAACTTCCTAAAGTTGGTAGAATTACTTTCTGAGTTTGATCCAGTTATGGAAGAACATATCAGGAGAGTTCAACGAGAGTCTGATAAATGGTCAGTGACTTATCTAAGCAATAATATACAAGATGAATTGATAAATTTAATGGGAAATTCAATTTTAAGAAAAATTGTCGAAATAACAAAAATCGCTAAATATTTTTCTATAATCGCTGATTGTACCCCCGACGTCAGTCATTATGAACAGCTCTCCTTAACAATAAGAGTTGTTACTTTTAACTCCATTCAAAATAAATATGAAATTGCAGAATTCTTTATTGGTTTTTTTGAAGCTAGTGATTCAACCGGAGAAGGTTTGGCAAAACTTATTCTGACACATTTGGAAAAATTAGGTTTTGAGTTAAAGTGGCCTAGGGGACAAGGCTATGACAACGCAGCCAATATGAAAGGAGTAAGAAAGGGTGTTCAAAATAGAATACTTGAAAAATATCCAAGGGCTTTTTATGTGCCCTGCGCATGCCATTCTTTAAACCTTGTTGTGAATGATGCCGCGTCTTCTACTACAGAAACAACATTTTTTTTTCTATTGTACAAGAACTTTACACTTTTTTTTCTGGTTCTACAAAGCGTTGGGAAGTGCTAAAAAAATATGTTTCTCAATTAACTCTGAAACCATTAAGTGCTACTAGGTGGGCAAGCAGAATAGATGCTTTAAAACCTTTACGATTTCAACTTTGCGAAATCTATGATGCATTGATTCTGATAATAGAAGACGTCTATAGAGATGCAGAAACTAAAGTTAAAGCGAGAGGGTTAGCAAAAAATATTAAAAATTACAAGTTTATATGTGGAGTAATTCTTTGGCATGATATTTTGTTTGAAATTAATTCAGTTTCGAAGCTTTTGCAATCTGTTACTATAAATATATCAGATTGTGTAAGGATGCTATCAGAAACCATAAAAAAAGTGAAAAGTTATAGACAATCTGGATATATTCAGATGAAAATTGCTGCAAAGGAGATAGCAGAGAATCTCGAATGCAGTACAGAATTTCCTGATGACACTGAAGTTAGACCCAGAAGGAAAAAGCGTCAATTTGACTATGAAAAAGCTGTCGATGAACCCTTAACAGAGGAGAAAAAATTTAAAATAAACTTTTTCAACTATATTCTGGACATTACCCTTAATTCTCTGAATGAACGATTCACGCTTCTGGAAACCCATAGCAAAAAATTTCAGTTCTTATATGACATTTTTTTAAACTCAAGGATATAGATGACAAAACGCTAGAAAATTATTGTTTCAGTCTTGAGTTTATACTTTCGGTTGAAAATGAAACAGATATAAATGCAAATGACCTTAGAGAAGAATTGCGTGATGTATCCAGAATGCTACCATATTCTACGAAACCTTTGGATGTTTTAAATTATTTATGCCAAAATAGCTTAATTAGTTTGTATCCAAATACTGTTGTAGCTCTGAGAATTTTATTAACTCTCCCTGTATCTGTAGCTAGTGGGGAAAGAAGTTTCTCCAAATTAAAATTAATAAAAAACTACTTAAGAAGTTCAATAGGACAAACAAAACTTAAAAATCTGGCATTAATTTCTATTGAATCTGCAATGGCTAGCACTCTAGACTACACATCAGTAATTAACGAACTTGCTAAATTTAAAGTTAGAAGAGTAAAGCTGTAATACTGTACATTGTTGTAGTTTATAGTTGAAATCATTATTTTAAAATTTCAAAATAAAAAGTAGAATTCGTACATTTTGTGCAGTTTTTTTTTAAATCACAATCGAAGGTTATTTTAAAGAAAAACATTTAAGGGGCGGCATTTCGAAGATTTGCTTCATAATGAGAAAATCTACCGCACGGGCCTGACTATTAATATATATATATATATATATATATATATATATATATATATATATATATATATATATATATATATATATATATATATATATATATATGATATATATGTATGTGTATATATATATATATATATATATATATATATATATATATATATATATATATATTTGCTATTTTTGTATGGCCTCTTTTTTCTATTTTGTCTACTTGTCTATTTTTATTCACTATTATTGTATATATTTTTACTGCCTTAAAAAAATAATAATTTAAAATTAAGTTGCAAAGTATTTGATTGTTTCTTTTTTAAAATTTATTTTAAACAATATTTTTAGGGGTTATATTTACTCACTGATTATCAAAGCTAATATTATATATCAAAGGGTATTAGAAAAAATACAAAAGGTCTATTTTTACCAAATTCTTTAAACAACAAACTAAGTTGATACTAAGTTTACATAAGACAAAATATTGTATGTCTAATCGACCTATAAAATCTAGACTGGACACACCCATTTTCCCAAACCATTACACCCATTATTAG